GAGTGAGTGGAATGGACAGCAAAAACAATGGGCTGCTCCATCTGTGCACAATGATTGGGAAGCATTTGGTCATGGTGGCTGACTGGGCTTTCACCAGCAGTCTGTGTCATAACAGAGGGCTTGAACCATCCTTAGCTAAGTCCTCCTTAGCCGAAGTACCTTCAAGGGCACAGCCAGGCAGGCATCTGAATGGTCTGTCTCTGAGGGGCACCCACCCTCTGTCTGTTGCATCATTGTTCAAGGGTACACAACACAAACTAGGAAGTAAGGGATGGGACCTAATACTGGGAGTGGTGGCACAAATGCCTGTAATCCCAGTACTTGGGAGGCTGAGGCAAGAGGATCATTGCGAGTTTGAGACCAGCCTGGGCTACAAATTGAGCTCAAAGTCAGCCTAACCTCCACAGTGAGACCCTGTCTCAAAAAGCCAAAAATAAATAAATAAATAAATAAATAAATAAGAGATGAGAACTAATTAGTCAAAGCCCAAAGTCCCTGACTGTGGGGGAAAAGGGGCTTTCGCAGAGTTAAAAATGAAAACAAACCACTTCCTTGCATCTCAAAGAAAAAAAAAGAAAAAAGAAAAAAGAGGACTATTTTTCCTGAAAATTCCGCCTTGCCAACCTCTTTGGCTGCTGGAATTGCTGCCAACACCTATAGCTTCACCTCTGCTACCAACTCATCTACTTCCAGCCAATTGAACTGTTCCCAGCTAGCCTTTGCCTGCATTTGGCCAAAGAGGCCCTCCCTCCAGAGCCTTCTGCTTACATACCTAACCTGGTCAGATGGTGTCATCTAACGCCCACCCAAGATGACTGTCAGCAATTCCTTCTGAGTTCCACATTTTGACAGAAAAAGTTGGACTGTCAGCCCTGACAAATGAGCCCTGTCAGCCCCCTGTTGGACTTGAATAGATAGGACAGGCTGAGCTCTATCAAACTGGGTCCCCAAGAGCCAGTGGTCATTGCAAAAGTCAGGGGTAAAGCTGTGACTTCCCTGGTAGAAAATGGAATAGAACGCTGCATTCAAAACTTCCCTCTCTCAAAAAGTTACAATCACCAGAGTAACTTGGACTATTACCTCTCACCCTTTGTGTCAGGCACAAATTTACAGTATTGGAAGACATCTCCTTCTTACCATGCCACTCAGCCTCCCTCTCATTTAACCCTGCACTTTCAACTTTGACTGTTCCCCGAGAGAAAGGTGATGCCTGCATCAGCCTGAGACAGAGAACCATAATCCTAAAGTTCTGAAAACTCTCCTTCCAGGGGTGTAAACCGAAGACTCGCCTTTGGTCCTCGCTAACAACCAAGCTGCCTCATCTTGGCCTCCATTGCTGTCAGATGTCATGCGAAGCACAAACAGGCATTCAGCCACACATCAACCTGATAGACTGTTAATCACCATGGGCAAGATCTCCATGCTGTCAACCACACAGCCATCACCTTGCACTCTGCAGTTTCCAACCCGTACACCCTTTTTAGACTGTTCTAGATTTAAAAGATGCCTTCCTCTGCTTGAGAGTTGCTCCCATGAGCCCCTTCATTGGGGAAAATCTGGAGACAAAAGGCTAGCTCCCCTGGACTCAATTGCCATAAGGGGTTAAGAACTCTCCCACTATTTCAGGGTGGCCCTAGCATCATGGTCTCCCAAGAAAAAAAACTGAGGCTTCAAAACTACAAAATGTCTATAGACTGTCAAACTGCTAAAATGCACCTCTCATGCCTGGAAAGCCAGTTTAAGATCTCCCAGTTGCCAATGCCTCCATGATTGCCCTCCTTATATGTTGCCTCAGTGTCCTGCCACCCATAGCCTGCTGATACACCTACTTGGAATGCTTTCTTCCACCTTCAATTGGCTCCTGTCAACCAGCCCCTCTTCCTTTTTAAATGGAAAGACTCCAGTTCTGGAGTCAAAAGCCAAGTGACCTGGACTCAACCTTCCAGAGGTTCAAAAACTTGTTTCCTCTTTGAAAAGCCCTCTGATTAATGACACTCAAGGTGCCTGCTGAAAAACCATGAAAGCTCTGCCACAAAATCTAGCAAAACTGGTTAAAAGAAAAAACCCCACAAATTTCTTGGAGGTGCTGGCTTCTATAAATCCTGGATTCTTTAGTTATGCTTACTCAAACTATCAGTCCCTGAAAGTGCCCAGTTTCCTACCTTTACAAATACTTGGATTTGGTTGATAAGGGATGCCTCCTCCCTTTGCCTCCATGCTCTAACAGCTACTGCCTTTCTGATCAAGAAAGCTGACAAGCTCCCCTTATACTGAGACTTAACTGTCCAGGAGCCACATACTGTACTGGGGTGAACTGTTCTAAAAAATGGACCCCCTGACAGATGCTGAGTACACCCTGTTTTTGGATAAAAGTAGCTCTATTAGGAACAAATTCCAACAGGCTAGATATGCTGTGGTCACCTTGGACAAAACTGCTTTGGCTAAAACTCTCCTGCAGGGATGGGCTACACAGTAAACTACTTCCTGCTGCTGTCTGGAAATCTGCCACCAACAATGCATAATAATCCAATCCAGAGGCCTAAACCCCCTCCTGAGATCCAATTGGCTAAAATATCAACCCCAGCCACCGGAGCTGCCCCCACTGTATGTTCTGCAAGCTCAAGCTGCTGGTCTGGTACCCCTACCCCAGCAGCCAGGTCAGGTTTCTGCATCTGTGTCACTGGCCCCAACCTCCCATTTCCTACCTATACTAAAAAAACAATGAAAGTTTGTAGGGTACTGCTGTAAAAAATCATCCCTATATATGGCCTACTTTTGATCACTGACAACAATAGTGGGCCTGAATTTATAGCAGTGGTAACTCAAAAAAGTTTTTTAAAAAGCTTGTAGCCAGTTAAAAAACCAGCTATATCTGTAGACATTCTTGCACACATGTGTAACCCAGGTACATATTAACTACCTCTCCAAGTTCCAGAAATCCAAACTTAGATCCCTGGAGAATTTACCTGGACCAATATAGTCTGAAGAGACAATGTGCTCAAAACCCTGCTCTGGTCACTCTGGACACTGGTAAGTCCATGTATGGCTGAAGCCTGAGGACATCATTGTCAAGATTGCTCCACACCTATTCCCCTTGACTTTTATGTATTTTCAGGCTGCTTACCCCAGTTTTTGCTTCCTGGCCCCTGCTATCTGTGTTTTTTGCCTTAAACTCTATGGAAAGTTGCCCCACGAGAATAGAACAATCAATTAAACACTTGAGTAAGATTTGGTGAACATCCAAGGCACATTGGACACCCTCCTAGATCAGATTAACTCCCTCACTACCTTGCCAGGGTAATGTTACAGAACAGACAGGCCTAAATTATGTCTCCTCCTAAAAACAATTTAGGAAAAAACTCTTTAATAAGATAATCTTGGGAAGCTTGGCTAGAGCCCATCCTAGGATAACTGATTGCTTCTAGTTGGGCCTTGTCTCAGAAGATCACATGTAATATGCCCAGCAAAGATTTGCTAAGGAAACTAACAGAGGGAGAAAATGTAGCAGAAGATGCCTCCCCCAGCCAATATATTTCAGTTTCTTAGTTGCCCAGGTAATAGTTGCTATTCCAGTTCTAGTTGCTTCTGTCTCTTAGAAACGACTGGGCGCTGTGATGCATAGCTGGTCACTATGATGCACCTTGTAGAAACTAATCCCCAGTTGACAAGCTATTCTGCGTCTGTACTTCCTGCTTGCTTATCTCATATAAGCCCTAGACCACCAGAGATTGGGACCTACTATGCTAGGAATGACCCTGATCAGTGCCCATTGACATAAATATATCTGCCTCCAAATGCTGAGTGTCATTTCTCTGTTTCTGCTTGCCATTGCAGACTTAGCAGTCCCACTCCTGGGTATTCACCCTAACGAACTGAAGATTTATATTCACACAAAAACCCATATGAAAATATTTATAACAACTCTATTCAGAATTACCAGAAATTTAGAAAATTATGCAAATATCCTTTATTGCATAATTATGCTACACACACCCATACTGTGGAATAATATTAGTTAAATCATAATAGTTAAACCTTTGTCACAGTGTGAATGAAAAGCACTCTTTCTTTTTGTACTGGGATTTGAACCCAGAGCCTTCACAGTGAGCTGCATCCCCAGCTGTTTTTTTAATTTGTAAATTTGAGGCATGGTCTTGCTCAGACTGGGCTTAACCTTGAGATTCTCCTGCCTCAACCCCCCAGAGTGCTGGAATGGCAGACATGTACCACTGTGTCTGGCTAAGGTCTACTTTTAAAAAGCCAGTTATAAAACTTTCACAATGATTCCATTCATGTGTCATTCTCAAAAAGTGAAAACTATAGGGATGAAGAGTTGATGGGTCCTTGCCAGGGCCAGGGGCAAGGGAGTTTGGGGACCAATGTCATTTCTGTGGCTTTATCCTAATGATTATGGCACATGTCCATGCACGTGGTAAAATTCATAGAACTATACACCAAAAGAAGAACAAAGTAACTTTACTGTAATGACAGCGGGCATGGTGATCCCAACACATGGGACACTGAGTTTGAGGCCAGCCTGGGCTATGTAAGTGAGTTCAAGGCCAGCCTGCACTACATAATGAGCTCTTGTCTCAAAAAAAAAAAAAATTAAGAATTGTAATGACATAACTGTGCATTTCACTGTTCTGTAATAAACATAGATACACACATATGCTCATCATACCTATGCGGGGACTATGGTAGTTTATTTCTGTCATGTATACCCTCCCCCAAGTATCATAGGCATATTTTTCCTTTATGTTACTTTAGCCTGGCACCTAATTTATTGTCCGAATAGAATTTGAGGTTGACTGGCTGGTGTCACCTGTCATCCTCTCCGTATGTTCTTCCTCTGTGCCTCTCCGAATACCTCTCTCTTCTTGTTTTATCCCCTCTTTCTGTTTATCCACCTCTTTGTCCCTCTGTCTCCCTGTAGATGCTTCAGGTGCCCTGCCCATATCCTTGGGTCCACCTGTCACCGCTTGAGGTTGGGTGGCAGCATGTCACTGGCTAGAGCATTCTGGGGCCAGGGGAGGGAGATCAGCCCGCATCCGGGTCACCAGGAGCACCTCCATGGCAAGGGACGGGACTCGTGCACAAATTACCCACTTCCTGGCTGGGATAAGGCTGAGCTGCACAGCCTCCAGCGTCGGGGCAGGTGGACCCCCTTTGCCCACCGCATTAAGCTCGGGGCGGGGGGTGTCCCTTTCTCGGCCTTTCCATCCTGGTCTGCTCTCACAGCCTCTTGCTTCATTCCAGGGACCGCCCCGCAGACGGACCCCTGCAGATGGAGCCCTAGGCTCAGGGTCTTCTTGGGAGGAACCGAGGAGGAGGATGCTCCCATTATCGCTCTCCACGTTTCAGTCTGTCTCTGAGTCGTGTCTCTCCGGGTTCCTGCCTCCTCTCTCCATTTCCACCTTATCTTTAGGTCTTTCACGTTTCCCTCCCTCGGAGAACCTAAGAGTCAGAGGCTCCATCACAGTCAGGTGGGCTGCGTTGCCTCCGCCTGTGCTGCGACCCACCCAAGAGACTCGCATTCATCCCCTTCGCAGCGGGTGTTGTGGGCCGGAGCGGCCGCCGTAGCCCTGGCAGCCGCGTCCCGGCATACCCCGCCCCTGGTCGGCGCTGTTTTGGGGCTCCCGGTAGCTCAGCCTGGGGTTGAGGTCCCGGGACGCTGTACCGCCTCCCGCGGGGTCGTCACGGCCCTGCCGGCTTCGGTGAGGGGGCCACGGGAAGACGTTGGTCCTGCTGCGCTGAGCCCGGTGGCGGCCGGGGCGGATCCCGAGGCGGGAGCCAGGCAGTGCGATGCTGGCGTGAGGCTCGAGCTCCGAGCCCGGCGGGAGAAGCGCGGGCCTGGAGTGCGTGCAGTTCTGGAAGTGAACCGCGGTGCAGACCGGCTTGGAGTAGTGCAGGGTCTCGGCCTGTGGCCCCTCGCCTCGGGGGGCTCGTCGGCAGCCGGTGTCGCCGTGGGGCTGTTGCAGCCTGAGCCGCTGTCAAGCAGCCTCAGAGAAGCACTTAGAAAAGATGCGCAGGTGAGAAGCTGGGAGAAGGAAAACTATAAATGAGACGCAATTAGGACAATTAAAATAAAAGGTACTTGGGGCTGGGGGTTTAGCTCAGCGGCACAGCGCCTGCCTGGCAAGCGCGAGGTCGTGAGTTCGATTCCCGGTACCGGAAATATAAATAAATGAATGAATGAATGAATAGTACTTACATTACCAGATGCTAGCGAGGAGGCTGAGAAAGTGGATCTTTCAGTCATTGCCGATAGAAGGAAAGTGGTTTGGGCACTCCAGAAAATAGTTTAGCAGTTTGTTTAGAAACCATACATTGCTGGGCATGCTGGCACATGTCTGTAGTCCCAGCGCTTAGTAGGCTGAGGCAGAAGGATTGCTGCGTGTTAAAGCCAGCCTGGATACATAGCAAGACCCTGTCTCAAAAAAAAAGCAAACGTGAACTGGGGGTGTACCTCAGTGTTACAATGTTTGCCTCACGTGTTTGAAGCCCTGGGTTTGACCCCCCACCCACTCTGCAAAACAGGCAAAAAACTTAAACATATACCCGCTGCACAACACAGTTGTTACAGTTTCTGGGTTGTCATCCCAGAAGAATGAATGTGTGTGCCCACTCATAATCTTGTACATGGTGGTTTATACCACCTTTTTTTTTTTTTTTTTTTAATAATAGCCAAACGCTGGACATATCCTTCAGTAGACGGCACACTACAGAGCAATAAAAAGTGAATATTAATTTTTTTAAAATATTGTACCAATACCAACTTCCCAGGTTTAATAATGCACAATGTGACTGTTGGGGGGAACTTGATGAGGGGTACACGGGAATCTTCCTGTATTATCTTTGCAACTTCGTGTGAGTCTGTGATTATTTCAAAATACAAGAAAGTTTTAAAACATGGACACATCCAGCAACCCTGGGCCTGGTCTTGCATAACAACTGTTGGTTGCTGATCAGAACAGGATTGCATTTAGATGAGATGGGCTGTGTCCTTAGACACCTGCTGTTCATTCACTCACATGTGTAACTCCTTCATTGTTCATTATTATAGCACCATCCGCAGAGTTAGTATGTTTTCTTTCTGCCTTTTAATAGACATAAATATTGCAAAACAAAGTAGCCATAAAGTGAAAATGGATTATGTACTACTATATCTGTGATTCCGAGTAACCAATACATTTTAAAAATTTTTTTATTTTTTTTATTTTAAAGAGTAAAAGAAGGATAACATAATAATGGGGGAGGGCTTACCAAATTATAGACAAAGTGGTAGGAAATTATCAGTGGTTGTTGTTTTACATATTGTTATCTACAAGATAATTTAAAAGATTTGTTTCTCAGGAAACAAATAGACAAATAATAGTGAGTTACAGACAAAAGAGGTAGGAGATTATCAATAGTTGTTGTACTATACTTCAGTATCTTCAAAGTGGCTTCTAAAGAAAATAAATAGAGCTTTATGAGCGACCTATTGAATAATCATTATTCTCAGTGGTTGTTGTAGGAAACAGTAATAAACATGCATCCATTTACGAAATAGGATAAGAACAATACAAACATTACAGAGTTATGGATAGATTAGTAGGAAAATATCAATGGCTGCTGTAATACACGCTGGTATCTTCAAAGTGAGTAACCAATACATTTGATGATGTGGCCTTATATTTTTCGGAGCAAGAGTGGAATATCCTGGAGGTGTGGCAGAAGAAAATCTGTACACAAGTGATGAAGGCCAATTTTGAGGCTCTTGATTTCCTGGGTAAGATAGGATTCTAATGAATTGCTTCCTTGGGAATCAATCTAATGCTAGTAAGTTCCCTTCCCTAGATGAGCTGTTGGCTAGTTGACAATGACACTGTGTCCAGTTTTGACTCGTGATGTTCCTTTTCCTTCCTCCAATGTCCTGGGGATATTGTTCTGTTTTACCCAGTGGTATCTGTGTCTTCAGTATCTAAAACTCTGAATGCATTATCTCCCATTCAAGCCCTCCTTCATTTTTTCCCACAGTTAGAATTCTAAGTAATCTAGTAATACATAAACCTTGGAAACAACCCAAATGTCCTTCAACTGAGGAATGGATAAAAAAAGATGTATTTTTTATACAGTGGAGTATTACTCAGCTATAAAGAAAGGTAAACTAGAGGCTTTTATAAGTAAATAGGTGCAACTAGAGATCATACTTATAAGTGAAATAAATCAGATTCACATGTGTAAACATCATATTTCCTCCCTACATAAGAACCTGAAAGAGTAAATAAAATCTGAAAGGTACAATAGATATTGGAAAGGGAAAAGAAACTGCTCAAATAGGAAGGAGCAACTGGGATGAAGGAGGAAAAAGGAAAAAGAAAGAAGGAAGAGGAAAAGAATATATATATATATACACACACACACACACACAGACTATATATATATATATATATACACACACACACACACAGGATAGCTAGGATGATTGTACTACTAATATCTGTTGATTTATTGAAAGGAACTGTTAATGTGTAATTGGTGAATCTTGCATAACTATCTGGTCGTATGTGCAGCCATTTTGAAGATGACATTATGTAGCATAACAACCATTGTTAATATCTTATCACGATGTTTTGAAATTCTGTATCATTTTTATTGTTCTTTATGCTGTTTTGTTTATGTATTTGTTTTTGTTATTTTGGTTTTTTTTAAGTGAAAAACAAAATGTATACGTATATATAAGGATAACTGGAATAGGTGTATTGCTGATGTCTGTGGTGTATTGAAAGGAACAGTCAATGCTTAAAATTTTCTTTTTTCTTGACCAATTTTGCATGCTTGAATCTGGTAATCAGAATGACTGATCTGAAAACAACAGTATGCAGTATAAGAACCATTGTTGAACTCCTGCCATCTTGTATGGTAAAGCTCTGCATCATTTCCAATGTTTTTTCTTTTTATTACTTGCTATTGCCTTTGATTGTTTGATCAATCTTACATCCTTATGTCTGGTGGACTGAGCGACTTCATTGAAGATAATAGTATGTAATGTAGCAACCATTGTTAATTGCTATCATTTTGTTTTGAGGTCGTGTGTAGTTTTTGTTGTTTTTGTGTTTTGATTTTGTCTTCATTGTTGTTTTGTCATTTTTTTTAATTTTTAAAATAAAAAATACAACTTGGACTAAAAGAAAAGAATTCTAAATAATCTAAGTGCGTTCTTTTTATTTCCCTATCAGTGCCTGCTTAAGTTGTCAGAACTTTCTGTCTTCACAACAGCTGTGGCTCTTAGGAGAAGGAGACACAGTTAAGGTAGGATAAGCAGGGACTCATCATAGTGCACAATGTGGATACAAAAGAAAGAAAGATGGCCTGGGGAGAAAAACAAGAGAACATTGGGGCTGGAGGTTTAGCTCCGCAGCACAGTGCTTGCCCGGCAAGCGCAAGGTCGTGAGTTCGATCCCCGGTACTGGAAAAAAAAAAAAGAGAAAAACAAGAGAACAGTGGACGGGCAACTTAGGTACCTGTCTCCAAGGGGATATGCAAGGAGTCACTTAAAGAAGAATTCAAGGAAATTCTGCCCTCCTGCTTCTCCAGCCCATTCTGCCTTGTGCTTTTATCATGAAAACCATTCCTACTGGGATCAACTATGTGATCTCAGTCTGGCCTTGGAGATTCACTTTCTTTGAAGGTTTACCGCCTTCTGAGATAGGAATGATGAGTGAACCATGTGAAGCAGAGAAGAGAAAATTCTAGGTAGAGGGAGGAACTAATGCAAAGTCAGCTGTGAAAGTGATTTTGGGTCAACTCAGTAAACGCAAACTGAGCCTGTGCGGACTGCACAGGCTGCTGTTCTTCCAAGCCAGAGCTGATCACCTCGATGGAACAAAGGAGAGTGCCATTAACCAGAGCTCAGCAATACTTCAGCAGAGCAGGAACTTCTGCTGATGAGCTGTTGGACTTTAATACTGATAAGTCACCATGTTTTGGTCAGTAAGATGTACTTAAGTTCCTGATTCACTGAATTTCCCTAGCTTGTTTCCTGGATCTTTCTTTCCTAACAGTGGCTAGACCTGGGCAATAAGAAACATTATTTGGATAGAGATTTTTTTGTTTCTTATTTAAATGGGTAACAAAGGTGAGACTATATTCTTTTTATTAAGAAGGAATCTATCTATCTATGTCTTTGTGTACGTGTGTTTGATTTCGTTTTTTGTTTTTTTTGACACAGGGTCTCACTATTGTACCCCGTGCTAGCCTTGAACTCCAGATCCTCCTGCCTCATCCTCCTGAGTGCTGAGTGTTGGGGCCTGTGTCACCAGCCACATTCAACACTGTGTTTTGTTTTGTTTTCTTTTTGAGACAGGGTTTCATTATGTAGTTCAGGGTGGCCTTGAACTTGTCGTAATCCTCCTCCTTCAGCTTCTTGAGTGCTGAAATTACAGGTGTGCACCACCATGCCCAGCAGATCCAGCAGTTTTTTAGTATGTTAACGCTTTACTAAGTCCCCGAGGAATTTTCTGAAGTGGAGAAGAGTATGGACCTGGGGAATGTGCCCAAGCTTGATTAGAGGAGAGGAGTATTCCCAAGGGTTTCATTTCAGCTACCATGTATTGGACAAGTGGTGGTAAACTTATGGCATGTGTGTTACTTGTTTTTCTTGTAAGACAAAAGATGTTAATGCATGAGTTGATGTTTCTAAACAAAAACCTCAGTATTCAGGTATAACTGCAGTGTTGGCACTTTGTGATAAATAAGTGGATTTTGGATTGTAGTTGGGCACTCATCTCTAAAAGGTTCTCCGTCACTACATTAGACACTGTTAAGTGCCTGTCATAATCTAGGGCTATGTCAGTGTTGCTTAGGCTAGAGGGAAATCTACATAGATATAGTTGTAACAATTCCATACTCTAAATATTTACTGTCTTACTGGCATGGGATTTAATTCAATTATATTGAACTTTTGACTTGGTTAACTATAAAATATTCCATATGAATTAATAAAATAATAAGGGGCTATGGTTAAAAGTGCTATAGAGATTTGGAAGAGAAAGGACGAGGAGAGAACAATATCCCAGGAGGGCTTCCAAAGGAATTAGGATTTAATAGCAAAGAATGGGCAGATTTGTTTAAGGAAAGGAGACTTAGCCAGAGTCTGTGCAGAAGCTGAGGCACAAAGGTGGGAACAAATCCATTACATTTAGAAAACGAGGAGGACACTAACTGACCTGTGGCTGAAGGTTGCTCAGGGAGATGGTGGGCCCTGGGAAGAGCAACAGACATTCCCATTAGGTTTCTGAGCAGGAAGGCCACCATGAAAAGTGTTTCATCCTGTTGAAAGCGAAGAGCCTGAAAAGCTTCTTGAACACCAAAGAGTTAACAACTAAGATGGTTATCACTAAAAATGAATGTTGTTCCCTTTGTGCCAGGTGATACTCACCCATAATCAAGCTGCTCCTCTGCCTGCGATGAATAGTAAAAGCATGTTTTTAGCAAGACTGAACTCTAGTGATGAGAAGCAGGATTTGCAGAGAGAGGTATGTTTTTGTCACGATGAAGGCAAAGCCTAGTGAACACTCACTAAGTAGCTGATCAGCTGGAACATTACCTATGTCGTCAGAAGCTAACCTCAGTGCATCAGGAGAGACATTCTCTTGGGCCAAGACCCAGGCTTCCCTCAGGTTAAACGTTAAAAACGAAAAAAGAAAGCTCCGTTACCTGCTTCAATAGGACAGGAAGGAAAAGCAGTTCAGAAATGCACTGACTTAGGCAAACATCTGCATTCGTCCTTTCTAGATCCATGGGGAGGAATAATGTGACAGACCTGTTCCCTGACGTCCTGGATGGGTCTTACTTTGGGAACAGCAGTGATTATGCTTATACAAGTATTTTTTAATAATACATATTTCTTTGGAAAAGGAAATAACATCTGTGGTGTTTTTTGTGAATTTAGTACACTGCCACTTTGACATTTCTAAGGATGATACTTTCTGTTAGTATTTCTTTCAGAGAATTTGTCTTGAGTTCTCTGGAATCAGGGAGACAGGAACATGATTCTAAGCCTTCTTAAATTGTACTGTTTATTTCACAGATTTGAGGCAATTGTACAGTCAGTTGTTTGTTTGTTTTGTGTTTTTTTTGTTTTTTTTTTTGGTTTTTCTCCGGTACCGGGAACCAAACTCACGACCTTGTGCTTGCCAGGCAGGCGCTTTTGCTGCTGAGCTAAATCCCCAGCCCCAGTTGTTTGTTTGTTTGTTTTTTGTTTGTTTGTTTGTTTTTCTCCAGTACCGGGAATCGAACTCACAACCTTGCACTTGCCAGGCAGGCGCTGTGCCACTGAGCTAAATCCCCAGCCCCCAGTCAGTTGTATTATAGTATATTGTATAGTATAATTGTATGGTCAGATTGTCAAGAATAGTTTATTTTTATTGATTCCAACTTCTGCTTACCCACTGAGGGTCAAATAGATTCACAGGGTGCATTTTTTCCTAATTTTTTATGCTGTTATGGCTAGACGCTCTTCTAAAGCCTTATATAGTCATAGGTAGGACTTTTTTAGAGGTGGCTGAATTTAGAGTGTGTGATTGATTCATGGTGCAATGATAGGCTTAAGGGGGGTAGTTATTAAATTAGTCCACTGATTGGTTTCACATCCCCTAACCCCAGTAGGCCAGATATAATGTAAGGGACAGAAAGAGGCTGTCTTTTCCCTTGCTTCCTTTGTTACCATCTGCCCATCACAAACAGTTTCTTCTCTGTGATGCCTGTCTGCCATGTCACCCAGCCTTGGAGCCGACCGATTATGGACTAAAACCTCTACAAAGTATGAGCTAAATAAACCTTTTCTTCTTTAATTTTTGGTGTCAGGTATTTTGTCTCAGCAAAGTAACTCAGATTTATGCTACGCCATTTTTAAACATAAGGTGAAAGGCATATAAAAGTTAAGTATAATTTCCCTGCAGGAGGCAGGTTCACAAAGTCACTGAGATCAGGGGATAAGACAGTCCTTGAACCCCAGTGGACACGTCACTCATGATAGTGTTTTTTTTTTTCCCAGATGCCCAAGAACTCTCAGGACAAAAGGGAAAGAATGCCATTTAAATGACCTTCAAAATCTGGACTTGTGTGCTGATTTATTTGGGAAGGAAACAGAGAGTTTATCAGATTAGAGAGCCATGATTCAGTCTCCAAGTCTCCAAGAAACGTACATCCTAAATAAAAACCTCCACACCTTGGCATCTAATCAGGACAAGAAAAACCCGTGGTGTATGCCTATGAGTACTGCAGGCCACTTGGAAATTTCTCCAGAGCCAAGACCCTATTCCTGCTTTGTCTGTAGAAAAGCCCTCCGGATGAAGAGTGGCTTAGTAAAGCACAGGAGGAGCCACTCCAAGAACCAGCCCCAGAAATATGCAAAGTGCACCAACAAACTCAGCGGGCAGCTGGGACAGGGAGGGGCCCCGACATTCCCTGGAAGGAAGAAGCCATTCCAGTGTGGTGAGTGCGGGCAGAGCTGCTACTTGAGGTGCAGTCTGGCCACCAGGCTGTCCACACAGGACAGTGGCCACTCCCCTGCCCTGACAGTGGCAAGGCCTTCCGATAGAAGGGTAACTTGAAGCACCTGCATCTGCACAGTGGGGAGAAGCCGTTCGCTGCAAGGAGTGCAGCGAGGGTTTTGCCCAGCAGTGGAAGCTCACCGAGCACCTTTGCCAGCACAAGGGGAAGAATCCCTTCTGCTGCCTGGGGTGTGGCAGGTACTTTCCCAGGAAGGCTGCCCTGAAGACCCACCGTAGGACACACAGTGGGGAAAAGTTGTTTGCTTATGATGAGTGCGGGAGGAAATTCATCTACAAGACTAAGCTCATGGAGCATGTCGGGGTCACACAGGAGAGAAGTCCTTTCCTTGTCTGGTGTATTACAAGAGCTTCCTCAGAGAAGCCTCACAGCCCACCAATCCCAGCATGGGGCAAAGCAGCCCTTCCCGTGCCCCCAGTGTGGCTGGAGCTTCTTCTGGAGAAATGGCATGAGGGCCCACCAGCACCTGCACAGTGAGGAGAAGCCCTTCTCCTGTGGGGAGTGTGGCAAGAGATTCACCTGGCCCTTCCAGCTGGCACACCACGCTGGCATCCACACCAGGCCGAAAAAGTAAATGAAAGACTTATACACTGGAAATGACAGTACTCTGAAAAAGGAGATGAAGAGAATATCAGAAATTGAAAGATAGCCCTTGTTTTTGGATAGGCAGAAACAATATAGTGAAAATGCCCATAATTCCAAAACTGTTATACAGATTTAATGCACTTCCAATCAAAATACCAATAGCGTACCTCACAGAACTAAAGAAAATCACCTTAAGATTTACAAGAAACCAGAAGAGACTTAGACCAGCAAAAGCAATTCTGGACATCAAAGGCAAGGCAGAGTGCATCACAATCCCCAATTTGAAATGATATTATAAAGATACAGTGATGAAAACAGTATGGTGCTGGCTGAGCTATATCCCTGGCCCCTACATTTGTATATCTTGTATATCTTGTATTATATCTGTTTCCCTGGTAAACACTGACTGACACTTAACTGACAGCTAAAAAAGATACCCTTGTCTTAATTTTAGAGTCTCTGAGTAAAGTCCATAACATCATTCTCATATTTGCTCTGTGGCCTAATCTTTCACTATAAGGTAATTTTTCCAGACTATTTTAACAACTTTCACTCATCTCTGGGACTATCAATCTTTTACATTACTAAAAGAACCTATAGCTTCCCTTCCTTAGGAAATCCTTGTATTCTTTCTTGTTTCTATAGCACAAAATGTGGTTCTAAATTACCTGAAGCATAATAAGCTGAGATCAAGCTGGTCGTCGTGGTTCATGGCTGTAATCCCTGCACTTAGGAGGCTGAGGCAGCAGGATCACTGCAAGTTTGAGGCCAGCCTAGGCTACATAATGAGTTCAAAGCCACTCTCAACTACATGGCCAGACTCTGTCTAAAAAACAACCAAACCAAAACAAAAAAATAATTAGTGGGGATCAAAGGTACTACCAGAATCACAGTGTTTAATCAAAGGGTAAAGTTGCCATCGGGCATGGGGGTGCATACATGTAACCTCAGCTATTCAGGAAACTGAAGCAGGAACATCTCAAGTTTGAGGCTAGCCTAGGCAACTTAGCAAAACCCTCCCTCAAAGTTTAAAAGGGAGCGGGGGGAACAGGCTGGGGAGGTAGCTCAGCACTCTCTAAATTCAGATTCCATCCTCAGTACTTTTAAAGAAAAAGAATGGGACCACCCATGGTTGGTACAGTCCTGTGGGCATGAGCCTATAGATGAGTTGATGGTGCTTCTCTGTGAAGATAAACCAGTTAGCTCATGACATCCAGATTGCGGCATTCTCTGGTTATTCGGTGGGCCTCTTTCAGGAACTGCACCAGCTTCAAGGTAAAATCTGGGTGAAGTTCTAGGAGCGCAGAAGGATAGATTGACCATAGGGACAAAAGAGAGTCACTCATGGGAACCAAACTTACCCCCAACCCATAAGGATTCTTCTGGAGCTGTGAACTTGGGACTGAGATAATGATCAGCCCATTACAGCACCCCATTTAAGTGGTCTCCCTATCTTTGCTGACAGATGGGTCTGATACTCGTCTTCAGACCTTCACCCCCTTCAGTTCCTCAAACTGAAGCATTGTCTGTCTTTCCTCTTACTTTCCATTAAAAGCTTCTTGCCTGCATGCTTGTGCCTCAGTTTTAGTTAACATTATCCCGGAAACAAGAATCCACACTGTTCTGGAATCCAAAAGATCAGAGAGGGGCTGGGGATTTAGCTCAGCGGCACAGCGCTTGCCCAGCAAGTGCAATGTCGTGAGTTTGATCCCCGGTACCGGAAAAAAAAAACAACCCAAAAACAAAAAACAAAAGATCAGAGAGACCAACAGGGAAAAACAGGAGGATTTTATTAGGTGTACATCTGGCTCAAGAGGACTCCTGTCCCAGATGGCTGAGCACTAAACAAAAGATAGGCTCCAGTTTTTATACATCTGGTAAAGGGACTTGGTCTTCCACATGGAACTTGCGGGTGGGCAAAAGAGAACCACGGTAGTTTGTCAAGCTGTGACAGTTTCGTATCTTGGTGGCCCTGCTTGGGCATAACAGGATAGTATGGGAACAGGAGGTTATAAGATTTTACTTACAGAGACAAAAATTACTGCTTTTATCTGTATGAGAACAAAGAACAATATCTTTGGATAGTGTAGGGAGGGGCACGTTTGGGAAACTCGACTTTTTTTTAAGTCCTGCTTTAAGGCCAGCTGGTGACCCTTGGCTTGGGTCGTGGCTGCCTCGGGAGGAACCCCGGTGAACACTCCGCCCTCCTCACAGTGTCTCCAGGTAGAGTCTCTTCTGGTCGTCAGATTGTTTCCCTCTCTTGGAGACCCCAAGAGTCAGAGGCTCATCACGGACGGGTGGGCTGTGACGGGGGGCCGGTCCGCAGGGGCTTGGTTTAACGCTCTGCGCGCCCGTTCCTCCCGCCTGCAGGGGGCGCCCTGGGCCCGCGCGGCCGCCGGCTCCCGGCCCCAGCGTCCCAGCATGCTCCGCGCCCGGCCGCTGAGCTCGGGGCGCCCGGCGCTCG